TTATGGCAGTTTATTTTGACAAATCTGTGATTTTAGTGTCATTTCTCCATGACATAATATTGAAGTTAACCTTTGACTAACATGGAGGTATAACCTACCTGAACTACATGTTCGAGTCAATTAGCGACCCCTACCTCACATTCATGTTAAAAGTCTAAAGTAAGTGACAGCACAGGCCGTCAGAAAACTTTGGATAATTCTTAAGCATTTTGCTCAATAGGGTTCAGGAGTACTGCAGACACGAACTTTAAGCTGAGTCGTGCCTGTTGACGCATTTGAGTGTCCCTTCCAGGCGCGTCCATTGCCATTTCGAGCTCGCATTTATATCTTTATATGCAGAGAACATGGGTTCTTGCACGCACCACGTGGGTGTGGTTAGAGATCGTATCCAATAGTTTGAGTTTCCTCATTTTTGCATGTCGTTTGTAGCTACAAACACGTGCTGGATTAAAAAAAATCCGGACATGAAATCGATGGATAGCCTGTTCACAATAAATTTTCTTTGGTGCCGACGATCAACTTTTCTTTAAGTAGAAGGTGTCTATATCAACGTGTGTACGCTATGTGTGCTTGTGACTCTCAGTGGTGCCCCGCCCTGGTCAGGGACAACGCGATCACGTCATGCTTCCATATTTATCTATTTACTGATATGTAACCTGGGACGGTGTTCCGGACTTAATGGTTTCCGTCACGCCGATTTCACGTTTAACACACCTTTTGGGAAATACAATGGTCCCATAATTCACCTGTACAGGAAACAGCTTGATTACAGAAACGGCTCATGCGACATGTTGGAATGACATAGCTGCAGATCACACGGACTAAAGAAATATTTATTTTTGCTGTTTATAAAAAAAAACATGTTGACAGTAGAATCCGATTGTTAACAGTTTTTTAATATGTAAGTTTCCTACATTTGGTCGGTTACTCTGCGTCTTAGCAAGCACTCTGTGTATTACCTGTGCCAGCCTCCAGGGAAACGTTAGACCTATGGGGTAATTAGTGTACTTCTTAGTGGACATAGTTGTGTTGATCATGCAATGAAAATCTTCATTCTTTTTTCCTCTTCAATTAAAATGTATGTCACGAAATGAAGATTCTTTATATCATTTCCAATATTCTTTAGCTTGTCTGAAAATAAAAATTCGAAAATTCAAATCTTTAAATCTTCAAACGAAATATACGTGCCAGATCCTCTATACATGACGTCATGTTACAGTTGGGTATCATATCAGAAGAGTTCATGGTGAAAATACAAAACGCATCTATTGAAAATATGAAACGTTTGTGCTCAAAATATGAAACATGTATACTCAAAATATAAAAAGTGTTTACTCAAAATATGAAACGTGTTTACTCAGAATATGAAACGTGTTTACTCAAAATATGAAACGTGTTTACTCAAAATATGAAACTTGTTTACTCAAAATATGAAACTCGTTTACTCAAAATATGAAACGTTTGTACTCAAAATATGAAACGTTTTTACTCAAAATATGAAACGTGTTTTTTACTCAAAATATGAAACCAGGGCTCGCGCTGGCGATCGCCATTGGCGAAAGTGAAATGAGATTGGCGATTTCAAATTTCTATTGGCGAAAATGCCGATTACAGCCATTTCCAGTCACCGATGACTGTATAGAGAAAAATCACTGGCGTTTAACTTATTTGTAACGAGTGACACAGGTAAATTTTGCTCCGACATCGTTGTGTACTACACGGTCACGGTTGACTGACTCACGCAGCTGGGGCAAGGTCAGCTATCGGAACTCTTTTGTGTTTTGACAGCAACGTTTACCTGTCTAAACAGCAACACGCCTGAAATGAAAATCGCCAATTATCCAATGATGTCTCCATTGTCTCAATCCGAGATAGCCTCTGCCGTGAACAATAAGGTAAGTTAGCTGAAGGAAAGATGTTGTTTTATCGGGAATTGGCTTACGGTAGGTGGATCATAAGGTGTGTCGATGTTGTTAATTGGGCACGAGTTTGTGATTTCTGCAGACATAACTTAGTAAACTAGTGTATTTGAAAGGGCCCGAAATGGGCTTCTTAACCTTGTTGATCGACAATCAAAATAGCAAGAAACACAAGATATAATTTCCTTGTTTTTACACTATGTTGCCGATTTTGTTTTATATTTTTGTACATATTTTGGTCACATCAGATTTGGCCCTTCACTGAGATAGATCGTTAGATGAAATGGGAAAACGTAAACTCCCCTTTAGTGATAGGGATGGGAAAGTACCCAGATTATCATCATTTGGTTTTAAGACACCATCTATTGAAAAGGAAAATGATAGTCCTGATCAGGTTACTAACAGGGGCAGTAGTTCAAGAAAGTTTCTAGATAGTTGGAAAATTGGCAGGCCATGGCTAAAATATGACCCAGAGCAAAAGCTCATGTTTTGTGACATACGTATCAAGGCATTAGTTAGAAATAGTTTCACTGATGGCTGCAGTATCATGAAGAAGAAGTGCTTGGTTAAGCATGAGAAAGGATCAGTATATACAACTATTCATCATTTATGAACAGAAAATTATGTAAATTTAGATTAAGTAATTCAGAAATACTATACAGCCTAAAGGATGGTACAATGTAGTTACTCATTACAGCCTGCTTGGCACATGAATTAGAAACTCAATCTTTTAGTTTAACGATTATGTCTTTATTATCTCTGAAGTGTTTTTAAGAGATATATTACTTAGGAAGTTACTGTAATAAGTATAATACTTTGATGGTGTAAAATAAGGTTCAATGTAATCCTGTATCTCTCTGCAAATGTCCAATTCTATTCTAAATTTTATTTTCAATTTTACAGATGAGAACTCTCACTCTGCTGCTTTGGCAACACAACAGCAAACTGTCGAGATGCAGAAGGCCTGTAATCATTCCATGTTTATAAACTCTTTTACCATATACTGTGTTATGTTTGATGTATTGTTGTTAAAACAGTGAATAAATAATGTAATTATATAATTAGCATGTGTGTTTTTATTATATGAGGAAATTAAGGGCTCGTCGGGTGAGGGTGAGTTCCGGAATCTGTTCGCGCGCTTATAGAAAAAAAAATTGGTTTTGCGAAACTGAATTTTGACCCAGAGCTAGCCCTGGAAACGTTTGTACTCAAAATATGAAACGTGTTTACTCAAAATATGAAACGTGTACACTCAAAATATGAAACGTGTACACTCAAAATATGAAACATGTTTACTCAAAATATGAAACGTGTTTACTCAAAATATGAAACGTGTACACTCAAAATATGAAACATGTTTACCCAAAATATGAAACATGTATGAAACATATAAAACCCGTGTGTTAAATTAATGACACTGTGTATCAAAAGTATGGAATTTGTGTAATGAACGAATGAAATGTGTGTAATAGAAATATAATAGCTGTGTATTAAAGGTATAAAACGTGTATATTCACCAAATGGTTCGACACGACAATAAGTCAGTGTAAAACAATCGACCAATATGACGATAGTATGGAAAGCCAGACCCAAACTACGTAACAGAAAGTGGTTTAAGTGTCTGGTTTGTATTTCTACGTGAGCTTAGATAAAAAAAATCTCGATATATACAATTATTACAACATTGATGGTCAGTGGCTAGGAAATTTCTGTTTGTTCCGTCTTAGGCTGCGAGGAGAAGTCCAGGTGCTGAAGAAAAGATTAGTGGGATTGATACTGTCAGAGCTGTGTTAGAATAAATGACTAGTCACGTGGCTATTGATGGCCAAATCTGTCTTCTACGATAATCTCTTCATCCCTAGGTGTGATATCTCATTTTCCACAATCTCCGAATCCCTAAGGAGCTAATTCATAGCCCAGCGTAACGTAACCTATGGCACCACAATAGGAATATTAACAATCATTGATAATATCAATTACGTTCGTTTTACAATTCCCTCTGGTGTTAAATTATTATATAGGCAAAAATGATGATTTTTTTCTGCAATTCCTATTTGCAGATAGGACGCCGGTCTTTCGCGCCATTACTTCCCGGTATTCCGGACCTTAAGTAACATAAACTCGAGGCATTGGGATATATTCTAGAGCTCCCTTTTCCGAAGCTATTCTTTTTTTCTTTTGGATGTCCTTTTTTCGTATGATATCGTCTCGCGACTTGAATACTCGAAGTGTCCGGATCTAGGACAGACTGTTTCTGATAGTTTGATAATGATGATAATGGTTTTTCATCTCCGTGACTCTGCCCGTTGCCTGGCATTGTCCAATCGACTGGAGCCGATTGACATTCATTGTACATTTTATACCCGGTAATACTCGGCACGTCAAGGTACCTGTTTTCACAGCCAGGTAGACTTCACCATTGTCACATTCTAGGACATAGGTTGTCCGAACTGTGCCAAACACGATATAAGTAGATATTCTGTTCTAAGAATCCACAGAGTTTTCATTTGTTTGTAGAATGGACACTGTATGTACCAGTTTACATGTACTTTAAGGGTCAGTTCTATTGATGCTAGGAAGTGTTTGTTTTAATTATTCATGTGTTTACCTGTGTATTGCTCCTGTTTCGTTATCTAATCAATCCTACTTAAGTTAAATGTATCTTTATGTTCCTAATAGATTGGAACATTTCCTTTTCATCTTATGTTTTGGAAATCGTATTTAGATATTTGATTTGAGGAAGCATACACTCCTCAATTATATTATCGTCGAGATCTCTCTCTTAATTTCTGTTGGCTCGATTTGCACGTGCACGTGATCATTTCTCGAGTTTTCTTTGACTAATGCTTACTCTCTACAGACGTTTAATCAGATGGTGATTCAAAGTTACTATTTCGAAATCAGTACAGAGATTTGTCATTGATTTTCACGATTCTTGGGTCAAAATTAAAACTTTCTGAGATTTTTATGGAATGAAGATATTATTGCAAAAGTACACCTGCTTTTAACGGCCAAAATAATATTACCTGTGTTTTACGGCCAATATAAAAATATCTCATACTTTTTGTATCGTAAAGTGGATTAACACGACCTGCCATTATGTACCATACCATCCCCGTGTCTGCCGTTCTGTATCATACCATCCCCGTGTCTGCCATTCTGTACTATACCATCCCCGTGTCTGCCGTTCTGTATCATACCATCCCCGTGTCTGCCATTCTGTACTATACCATCCCCGTGTCTGCCGTTCTGTATCATACCATCCCCGTGTCTGCCGTTCTGTATCATACCATCCCCGTGTCTGCCGTTCTGTATCATACCATCCCCGTGTCTGCCGTTCTGTATCATACCATCCCCGTGTCTGCCATTCTGTACTATACCATCCCCGTGTCTGCCATTCTTTATCATACCATCCCCGTGTCTGCCGTTCTGTATCATACCATCCCCGTTTTTGCCGTTCTGTATCATACCATCCCCGTGTCTGCCGTTATGTACTATACCATCCCCGTGTCTGCCGTTCTGTACTATATCATCCTCGTGTCTGCCATTCTGTACTGTACCATCCCCGTATCTGCCACTCTGTACCATACCATCCCTTTGTCTGCCGTTCTTTACTATACCATCCCCGTGTCTGCCGTTATGTACTATACCATCCCCGTGTCTGCCGTTATGTACTATACCATCCCCGTGTCTGCCGTTCTGTACTATACCATCCTCGTGTCTGCCATTCTGTACTGTACCATCCCCGTGTCTGCCACTCTGTACCATACCATCCCTTTGTCTGCCGTTCTTTACTATACCATCCCCGTGTCTGCCGTTCTGTACTATACCATCCCCATGTCTGCCGTTCTGTACTATACCATCCTCGTGCCTGCCATTCTGTTCCATATCATCCCCGTGTCTACCGTTCTGTACCATACCACCCTCGTGTCTGTTGTTCTGGCCATTTAAGTATTATTGGTGAAGCTGTGGAATGTCTAACCGCCCTGTAGCCTGGGATACTCTGTAACCTTTGATGTTTCCTTTTAGATGATAAGGGAATTTGTCCCACGCTATCAATACAAATGTTCTTGGCAATAATGAAATGGAGTTTTAGGACCTTTTCATTATTGCCATCAAGTCTACGAGTTCTCATAATTGTTTATAAAATGATTTTACTACTTTTACACAAAGTTCTATTTTACAATAAAACGTATTAAAAATATATGCAATACAAATTTGTAAGGCAATGTCAGTGCTTACCTTCGTGACACAGTCACGGTTTTTACAGTGCGGACAAAAAGTCTTTGACAACAACATTTACAAAAATGCAAACAAAACATGATACAATAAATAAGAAATTAAAACGTGAAATTAACTAGTGTGCTGTATATTCAAAGCCTCATTCTCTTCGACGAATAGATTACACTGAGCCATACAGCCGCTTCTTCCATTGAGGAATCTAGAGGCACAGGAGGCGACTGAGGAAAAATCAAAGTGATTGAATGAAAATTCGAACGGGAGGTGCACTAGTCAATAAGTCAATACATTTTGTAATTTTTAGTCTAGTATTGGTTGAAGATGAAATATAAAGGAATGTGAAGACTTGTTCAGAGAGATGTATTCTTTTTTTTCTGGGAGTATATAAATTTGTGGCGGCTCTCGTTATTATGAATGTATTTCTGTAGGACTAACTATTGGTAACCTAATCACTGTAATTGTAATGACGTGTTACCAAAACTATTTTGACCGATCCAGATCGGTCTTTGGTCTTTTGTATGACATTTCTTTTTTCTTTTGTTGTGTTTCTTTTTTATAATTACGTTATTCAGTAATTCATTACAGGTATAAGCAGATTAGTGTACACAACAAAATATAAATTTGTAGCTCTAAAATAAATTCATCACCAGTGTTATAAACCTACTAAAGGATGAAGAACAGAAACATTTTCTGGTACATTGTACTTCAGCCTCAAGACAAGTACAACCCAGACGTGCGTGTCACGTAGTATACCAAACGAACGCCTCACCTCTACCGGAAACGCGTAAGCCTGACCGGAAGTACAGAGAATACCTACTCGTTCACCTCAATTTCGCTATCGATTATGGCTAAATTCTAATTGAAAAAAAGAAAACGGCGACTTCGGAAATGTGAAACAAGAGTCCATATCACACGACTGACTACTGTTTATTGGTATTGGTAGTTATTTACAATCCGGGATAAGCTTTAATGACTTTTATATCGTAAGTTATCGTGTCTAATTGTCTTCGTTAGATTTAATCGTTTTCATCGTACAGTGTTAGTTGCCACTAACTGATATACCTTGATTAAAATAAAATGTATTCTTAAAATAATTAATGAGCATGAAATGAACAAACGACCCCCTCTATGTTTTAAGCAAAGAGAACTTTGGTAATTACAGTTCCGAATGTGTTTACGACGTCAGGGAGGGAATATCTGTGTTTACGTATCTGTCTGGACATGTGGAACGCCTCCGGACTTTTCATTAAGGGGAATGTAGTGCTGTGCCACTGAGTCTGGCGTTGATAACAATAAACCACTTTTATCATTTGCTATCATGCTTTAATGTCAGCCATAGGTATGATTGGATATTTACCCAACGCGTGCAATATAAGGACGCAGTCTTTGTATGGGGTGAACTTCGTGACGTCATGCGCACGTTATTGTTTAAAATGAACGGCTAAAGGTAACCTTAGATAAACAAGACTATTCGAAGAATTGAAATGCATTATTAAACTTATACTGATGACATATGGTTATACATGAAAATCATCGTAACACAATACTTATATTTTTATTTCTATTTTTTTTACTCCATGTTCCATTGTCCTATCAAGTAGACATTTAGATAAAAAGACATGACACAAGTAAAAATCGATAAAAGTGAAAAAAAAATAATCAAAATATAAAACCCAAACAATGAAGAATCTCTAAGTAACAAAGATCAGTAACGATTGTATACTGCTGTACCTGTACTGTACTGAACCTGTAGCTCGCCTTGGCTTTGTATTATATTGAAGCCGAAATCATTTTCGAGCGTCTTTCCTTTGGAGATGTATTACTACCGCCAACAAACACAGACCGCTTCAAATGTATAAGAGAACAATTTTGTGTTGGATCGGTACAGGCGCCTTTCTAACACAGCCATTAGACGCTTACAAAGCAGGGAAATTTGACCAATAATAAATATATTTGAGAATTTATTAGATCTAGCCATAAAGCATACTGATGTCTTCACTTTAATGTTGATCAAAGGTTTATTTCAGGAGAATAACGGTAATTACTGGCAAGATAGGGCCTTCACTGAATTGGTCTGTAACGTTACGGAATATACAACACAGGATATCATTCCGTTTAACAGATCGTACTTCAAACCACGGACACTCAAATACATACAGCTGTTTGTTAAAAAATAGACTTTTCAAACACGAAAAAAATTAATGTCTGATAAATACCCTCGTTTGTCTTCTGATTGATATCATGTGACAGGAAAGTTAAAAATTGAAATCATGGTCATATAACTGCCAAAAATATCTCTATATTTCTGGCAGTATACATAACAAATTTGTTTAAATGTCGCAAACCCGATTCAAAGGACCATAGACACGAGATTATTGTACGTTCAACAGAGAACTAGAGTTGTTCGTAACACCTCTACTCCGTTACATAGTTTTCAACTGACTGTGTATTACAAAGTTTTGACGGTGTAGGTCGTGTTTTGTGACCTTGTAACTGTGTATTACAAAGTTTGACGGTGAAGGTCGTGTTTTGTGACCTTGTAACTGTGTATTACAAAGTTTGACGGTGTAGGTGGTGTGTTGTGACCTTGTAACTGTGTATCACAAAGTTTGGAAGTGTAGGTCGTGTTTTGTGACCTTGTTACTGTGTATTACAAAGTTTGACGGTGAAGGTCGTGTTTTGTAACCTCGTATCTGTGTATTACAAAGTTTGACGGTGTAGGTCGTGTTTTGTGACCTTGTAACTGTGTATTACAAAGTTTGACGGTGTAGGTCGTGTTTTGTGACCTTGTAATTGTGTATTACAAAGTTTGACGGTGAAGGTCGTGTTTTGTGACCTTGTAACTGTGTATTACAAAGTTTGACGGTGTAGGTGGTGTGTTGTGACCTTGTAACTGTGTATCACAAAGTTTGGAAGTGTAGGTCGTGTTTGTGACCCGTAACTTTGTATTACAAAGTTTGACGGTGTAGGTCGTGTTTTGTGATCTTGTAATTGTGTATTACAAAGTTTGACGGTGTAGGTCGTGTTTTGTGGCCTTGTTACTGTGTATTACAAAGTTTGACGGTGTAGGTCGTGTTTTGTGACCTTGTTACTGTGTATTACAAAGTTTGACGGTGTAGGTCATGTTTTGTGACCTTGTAACTGTGTATTACAAAGTTTGAGGGTGTAGATCGTCGTTTGTGACTTTGAACTGTATAACTGCGTTTAACAATAATTGACACTGTAATATAGTCACGGAATATATACAATAAACATGTACATATCTGTACCGACTTTCTATCCATCACTCTCGTCTATATAAAGCTAATACCTATGCATATGAAAATAAATATTAGAAATAACTTGACTCTATCATCAACTCTATCTGAGCTTATTTTTTAAATTGGCTGTTACCACTAAACCTTCATACAACATCACTGACACATCATATTAGTCCTATTTGTAAAAGCCAAGACAATCACACTAACACAACCAATGTTTCTGCTGTTCAAACTACGAAATTCGGGATACGTTATAATCCTTGAACTAAGTGTTTGTGAGTTTGAGATCAAAGATGTCATTCTTTAGCCTGAAGTTAAAATTCGCGAGGAACATCCAAGAAAAGCCTTCTTTATAAATAAGCTTATCCGAGATTCAGATGCCAATGTCAGACCTTTTTCTGGTCTCTAAAATGTTTGACGATGGCGGCTGTTTGCGCAATAAACATCTGAAAAAAACAGACGATGACACTTGAAAGTTTTAGCTGTAATTTGTAGGCCTAAGATACCATAGCTTTGTCAACCATTAACAGGAGTTATAGAGGTGTTATCTTGGTTCTACTGACTCAGAAACAACGCACGTACACAACGTGCTCCCCTCGCGATCGTGACAACGCTGACGCGATAATTCCCAGATCCCATTAAGATACAACCTTCTTGAACACATTTTCGAAAACGAGGGTTTGAAGACACTGTATCCTCTTTATGTGTAATCACAATTTATCTGTGGAATTTCCAGAACACGTATATCGTCCTGAGAAGTAGAGACAGAGAATCTATTTTACTTTGTAGCCACCTTTATCAGCAATCTTATAAAACCCCAAACCTTCCGGCGATGTCTGTCCTCACAATGTCACTGCTGACTACTAACCCCTCTATAGAGAGGGGGACTTGTTCTGTAAAAGGGGGAGAGAGATACCAATACGTGTCTATGGTGTCAGAAGTGACGTGATGCCGAGTAAAATTAAGACAATCATATGTACTTGATGGGGCCTAAACAGGAATATGTATTATGTTTAGTTTTCTTATCTCTTTCTGTCTGGACTGTATGTAATTATTTACTAGACCATGTATGAATTAACCGTGACTTAAGACTTCACCAGTATTATCCTGTATTACAGAGCTGTCAAGTCTTCCCGTGTTCCCTGTATTCTATTGTAGTCTAGCCTTGTAAAGTGCAGTGTTCCCCTGTATTACAGAGTTGCCAGCCTTACTGTGTTGCCCTGTATTACAGAGTTGCCCTGCCTTACTGTGTTCCCCTGTATTACAATGTTGCCCAGTCTTGCTGTGTTGCCCTGTATTACAGAGTTGCCCAACCTTTCTGTGTTGCCCTGTATTACAGAGTTGCCCAACCTTTCTGTGTTGCCCTGTATTATAGAATTGTCCAACCTTTCTGTGTTGCCCTGTATTACAATGTTGCCC